TGCTGAACCTTTCTGGTTCTTTTTCTCCTGTGCTATTTGGACATAAGATGGGTCAGGCACTCCAGAGGCTTCCTGGATTTTGCTTTTCAGAGCAGAGCCGTGGGTGCTGGGCTCAGGCTCTTTCTGGAGGCCTTTCTGCTTTACAGTATAGATGTTCTGGTAGATGTCAGAGGAGAGGGATGTCCTATCAGTCTTATCTATTTCACTGACACTGTAGCGACGCAAGAGCTTCTTGTAGTGCGGAGCACCCACGCATTCCCCTCGAGAGGTGCACGTGGTCAAACATGACACGCTATTCTCTGGATCTGACCGGTAATCTCTAGACTCTAAACTTGTAGATCGTATGCGCTTGCCCTTGGAAGGGCTGCTCACGCTTGTCAACCTAATTGCTTCTGCCTGCTTCTGGTTTTCAGTAGCTTTCTCCCTCCCTCGCCTCTCCAGTTCTGGCATCACCAGCTGGTTAGGGGGTGGCCTCACCCCCCTGCAAATCCGCTTGCAGTCACAGCTGCGCCTTTGCTCCCTGGACATCCCTGGGACTTTTTGCACAGGACTGCTCCTTAGTTGGCAGCTGCAGCGCCCAGGGGCAGGAGGATGCAGATATTCCTGTGGGGGGAGGTCACCTTTGCCCTTTGGCTTGAGCAGCTCTTCGAGGAATTCCAGCTCATACTGCTTCACCTTCTGCAGCTGGGCCTGCCGCTCGTCAGTCTCTCTCTTCAGCCGTGTAGGAAACGTTGCAGAGAATAAGTTCCTCAACCTGAAGGGAGCTTTTGGAGCTTTGGGTTTAGCTGGGACGTTAGCATCTTGCTGGGTCACCTCCAGGACTTTTTCTACTTTTTTACAAGGCACAGTGCTGATTTGCAGGCTCTCGGGCCTGGGCACCAGCTGGATTGGCCCTTTGGGATCCTCACTGGTACTCCTGAAAGTGCTACCAGGTGACGGAGAGTGCAGACTGCCACTCTCAACTTTTAAACTTTTGGCTGAATTTTCCTGTTGCATTTTCTCTCCTAGGTTTGAAGGAGCCGTGTGTCTCTGAAAGACAAGGTTCGTGGCTTCCCCCGCTGCCTTCTGACCTGGCTCTCCACTTGGTGCTTTTCCTGGGGGATCTCTACTCACTTTTTGCTGGTAGCTTTTAGAGAGAAAAGTCTTACCAAGCATCATTTCCTCACCTGGTGAGGCAAGGTGGGAAGTTTCAGCCCTACCGCCAGGAGCTTCTTTAGGACTTGCAGAAACTTCACTATGTTGCTGCTGAGACAGTTGCTGCTGCTGCTGCTGCTGACAGTTGCATAATGTTTCTTCAGTTTGTTGACCTCCTTTAAGTTTCAAAGGCTTGCTGCTGGACGATGCAAAGCTGCTGGTCCCATTGATGTTCTTGTCTTCTGTTGGAGCTGCAAGCATTGGGGAAGCTGAGCCTTTGGCCTTTGCCGCTTGCTGCAGAGCAGCTGAAATGAAGGCTGGAGTCACACCACTCTTCTGACCCAGAAGGAGCTTGGGACTCGGCCGGACCTCTTTGGGCGCCGTCTCTCGTAAATCCTGTGCCTGCTCCCCGCCCAAGGCTGCTGTGGTGTGCAGAGATGCCTCAAAGGCAGCTTTCGCGTGGCCAGCACCTTTGCATTCAGAAGCTGGCACTGGAGCCCCCCTGTTCTGCTCATTAAGCTGCGGGGACAGCACTGGCTGAACAGCCAAGGTGTAGCTCTGCTCAACTTGCTGCTGCTCCTGTTTGCTCTTGCAGTTGGTAAGATTGGGGCTCGGGTGAGAGAGATTTGGCTTCAACGAAGGGCTCGGCTCCTGGTGGCTGAGGGGGTAGGGCGAGGTGAGAACAGCCTGGGCAGCGCAGCTCTGGATTCGGAAAGGTAAGTCCTTCCTTGCCAGGAGGTTTTCTTTGTTGATGTGCTGTGCAAGGAAGTAGGCTGCATTCTGATGCTGCTTCATAGCAGAGACCATCTCTGAGACATCAGTTAGCTCCGAAGAGTTGGTTTCATGGCCAGAATCCAAGGATGACTCAGGAGTGATGGCAGCCAGGACAATAAGACCTGAGGAGGAACACAGAGAAAAACCCACACCAATGCTATGTTCACGCCGCATCACTGCGTGGAGGGGAGAGGAACTCCTTGCAGGAGGAGGGTCCCAGGAGTGCTGAACACAGCATCACGACAGAGGAACTGTAGTGCCTGCCTCCCACTAAGACTTAGCACGTTCAAGAGCGATCTTTCGTTAGCACTGAGCTGGCTTACTAGCTTAATTCATCAAGAGCTCTTGGCCCAGAAAAAGGTCCTGGGAAGGGTTCCAGGGTTAGGAATAGCTACGGGGAGTTGTCTGGAGCAAAAAGGAAAATCTGCCAACAGCTGCTCTGCCATAGTGAGTAGGCAACCAGGGGAGGGGAGAGGGCATCATGGGCTGTGCAGCCAGCAGGCTAGTCCCAGAGAAACCCATTGGAGAGCAGGTTTGCTCTGTGAAGGGCTTACATGCTGCAAAACCTGGGGGTGAACCTTAGAAGACCAAGGGCCGTACGGACCGACTGAGTGGGGTATGTTCAGCTCACAGTGTGGATTCGTTAGTGCCTCAATGCAGCAACAAGGCATATGGACTATTGCAGATATGGGCTAACCAAAAGACTCCTTCGGCCACCATCAGGGAGAGGAAGATTCCCCACTCCAGTTCTTAGAAATCCGAGCAACAGTTTGGCTGCTCATGCTAGACCCTGTTGCCACAATTTAGTTTTCATTAGAAACTACCCCACCATCACTTATGGGGAGGGTTGAGAAAAGAAAAGATCGGGAGAAGAAGAAACGGAAGGATATACTATAGAAAGGCTACAGGGAAAAAGAAAGGCACGGTGACTCCAATACCTGCTGTCTGCTGTGGTGGCGGATGGGGACAATCCTCTGAAGCAGCCAGGGCTTCCAGAGCCTGCAGGGTGGACACCAGGGCATCATCCAACTCTTGGGCATGGTCTCGGACTGTCCGTGTTTGCACGTTGTCTATCAGCGTCACGGGGATCTCATCATACAGGAGGCTGCAGAGGTGCCGGCCCTGCTCCTGGCTCTGGGCAGCCGCCCGGCGCTTGGGGTCGTCCTCGTCCGAGCTGTTGTCTCGGAAGCCAGGAGGGGGGGCAGCGATGGCAGGAAGCAGGGACGTCGTCTCATCTTCTTCTTCATCGCTCCCAGGAGGGGGAAGTGACATCAAGTCCACCATGTTGTCACGGGCGCTGCCAGGCTTGCCGCCCTTCCGCGAGGCCAGCCGGCTCTTGATTTTGGCTTTGCAGGAATCACAGTAAAATTGCGAGGCATCACTCCTCAAGTGGGTGTCGATGGTGTGGGCCCTGGCCCTACTTGCATGGTGGTCTCGGTCAAGGCCATCCGGGTCATACTCATTTGCAACACCGTCATAGCCTTGGCCGGAGCTTTTGGAAGTGGGGTCAGATTTGGTCCTGGGACGAGTTTCCTCAAAAAATATCAGGTTTTCATTGATATCTGTCCTGCTCTCTCTCTCCTTCCTCTGCTCTCGCATGTGCAGGTAACAAAAGCTGACGAGCTCCGAGTCCGAAGCCCTGGCAGTTTGAGCCCGGGCTTCTCCGGGGCTGGAGGCAGTGCCACCCACGAACCCGCTCTCTTTCTTCCCCGCATGCCCCACGGCGGTGGGCCGGTGCAGGTTGTGTGCGTTGATGTAATCTAAACCAAAATCACAATTGGAGCATTAGGAGCAGCACCTGGGAGAAGGGAAAGGGGATGGAAAACCCATGGGCCACCCCTGGGGAAGCATTCACGTGCTCTCTGCCCTGCAGCCTTTGGGGTCACAAAGACGTGCTCCTGCACCCTGGTCCACCTTGCCCCTGGGGCTCCCCCTGTGGCGTGCCCTGGCCACCTGGCTGGCTGGTTTTCCAGAAACGTATCCCCTACCCAGATGTTGTCTTGGCAACCTGCTGGGCCTGTCTGCCACTAATGAATGCAAGAATAAGAGTGTGGCATGAGGATTTCAGGAGTCCTGCCCATAGCACTGCTCTGAGGCAGGAGCTCTATAACATCATGCAGACATGCTTGATGGAGGGATGCACCATCCTTTGCTTAGCTTCAAACTCACTGCACTTGCCTTGACCTCTCCAGCTTGGGGGGTGTGTGTGTGTGTGTGTGTGTGTGTGTGTGTGTGTGTGTGTGTGTGTGTGTGTGTGTGTGTGTGTGTGGTCTCTCACTAGAGGAAAGGGCTAAGCCTTGAGGGATACCACCCATTTACTCCTCCTCACCATCAAGACTGGGAGGGGGTTGCTGACACTGCAGTTTCTGGCTCTGAGCCATCAACCCCTCCCTGCAACGAGGAGAAAAGGGAAGAGCTGAAGGAAGCAGAGGGGAGAGAGATATAAAGAGTTGGATTTGGTAGATGTGGAAGATGTCCCTGCTAAAAGAACCAGAACACCACCAAGAGAGAATCTCCTGGGGGCTGCTCCAAGCCTTGAGTCTGGACTTGTGCTATGAGGCCCCAGAATCGCCCCTTGCTCCGCAGCTCCCAAGTAAAGCCCACGCCGCGTGGAAGAAGTGGACAGGCTTTCTCCCCCTAAATCAGTAAAGTCTGGATTCTCACCAACAAAGAGCTGTTGAAAGTGTTTTAGGGAGCCCTTTGGTGTGGCTGGAGCGTAGTGACGGCTGAGTCCAGAAGAGCCCGCAGGCAGCAACCATCCAAAGGGTGGCTCAACAGGATTTAGGAAGCAGGTGAACTTCAGCCAGCAAAAGCCCCATGCACACTGACTGGGACTTTCGTAGGACCTGCTCTCACAAGCTCTGGTGAAGGAGCAGGCCACCTCCTTATGTGGTTTGTTCCTGTGTCCCCAGAATGATACATGTTGTAGAGTTTCAATCATATAAATTTTATAAAGTTTAATATTATGACATTCATAATGAAGTATGGATCCTAAAGCTTTTTTTTTTTTGATAGGAAGTAGATCAATGACAGCTTGGACCTGCAGAACAACTGATCACTGTCCTTTTATATACAGCCTTTACACATCAGAAAGATTGCCTTGTTCCTCCCTCTCCGCTTCCTCACCCTCCTCTTTCCAAGGCTAACCACACCAAATGCCTTTAATCTTTCCCGACCGGTGCGTTTCCTAAATGTCTCGGTCCTCTTACGTTTTCTAAACGTCTCAGCTTTCTTGCTGCTCTGTGCTGGCCTCTCTCCAGGCTGGCTACCTGAATAAATGTCTCATTTCTGAATCGACGTCTCATTTCTGTGCTGCACAACAGCAGCGGAAGGAGGGCGTGAGATCCCAGCAGAGAGAGCTCGGCGCCCGGCTTGGAGGCAGAGCACCGGGGACCCCAGGAAGCCGCCAGGTACGGGAAATGACGGGGAAGCGGCTGCGGCCCCCGTGAGCCATCAGCAGTATTCAGAGGGCAGCAGCATGCCCGCACGCACGAGCGAGGCTCCTCAGCTCAGCCTGCCGGTTTGTCGGTTATAAGGCAAGAAAGGACCGCTGTGACCTTTTCTGCATCGCGTTGGCCAGACCAAGCCACTTTGCTCGGCCGTTCCTGCATCGAGCCCCAGGAGAACACTGCGAAACGCCGCGCTGTATCGTCTCTTGGGGAGACATCCAGTTTAGCTAGGCTGACTTTAAGCGAGAGAGACCCCAACCCCTGGTTGGGTGCTCCCGCGACTCTTTGCCTCGCTGCTGAAGCTCAGCTGCTGGTGTCAGGGCTGACAGCTCTCCCATCAGGCTCGCTCAGACACAGCCCGCGTCTGCTGCTGCTACGCGTTTCCCCTGCAAGAGCCTCCTCCTGCTCCCTGTCTCCGTGCGAGGCAGGCAGCTGAAACACTGCTTGAGCTCCTGGCCGGTGGTCCAGCCCTCACGAGGGGGCGTCCGTCTGCGTTACGAGTTGAATCGCGCAGCTGTGCTGCGAACGGGTGCCAGAGGGATGCAGGCTCCATCTTACCGAGTATAAATTAAATCAAATAAATCCTAATTAAATTCATTAGCTCGACACGTTGGACAATTTGTCTCCCAAAACACACATTTGCGTTATACTGTTCATCACCTGCAACGTGAAAAATCCCAAGGAAAACAATACATCTCTCATTTGCAGCACATAGCTGTCGCTTCCGAGCGCCGGTCTGCGACTCCGCACGGGAACGCGCTCGGCGGCGGGCGGCAGCGGGGCAGCCCTTCGCGCGTACCGCCTCCGCTGGGTCCCGCCCGGGGGCTGGCCCGCCGGGGATAAGGGCAACCGCAACCCAGCTGCAAGCGCTGCCGGGCGCGCCGGCGGGGAACGTCCTGGCGAGGAGCTGAGACGCCGAGCTGCTTTGCTGCTGATTTGTGCTGGTGGGAGAGGAGGGGGGGCAGGAAGGGGAAACGCAGCGCCGTTCCCGCGGAGGGTGAGGATCTGGCATACGGCTCCACGGGGAAACGGGGAGAGACGGATTTAACTGACAGCATCAGGACAGAGCGCACATTTCTAAAAACGTCTGCAGTTTGGCAGGAGGTTTTAATGGGCCTCAGGGAAGATGGATGTGCTCCTCTACTAGACAAAAAGCGCAGGTCAGAACTTGATTTTACATTTAAGATTTTGGCACCGCCTGTCTGCAGCCGGCAAAGTCAAAGCCTGGGCTAACTTGATCCATCCCAGTGGGGCTCTCCTATCATTCCTGCAGAGATGTGCTAATGATCGACAGTCCCGGCTCACTGTGATCTGCCTCGCTCCTGACAGCTCAGTCTGCAACCGCAGCGAGACCGAAACTGTGGGCAGACTTTGTTTTCTCAACACAAGCCAAATTCACTCCTCCTGAACAACGCCTGAGCAGCTGGGCTGAGCGTACGTGGTCTGCAGGGAAATTGCTTCATTGCGCTGGTCAGAGAGGTTTTTGTTGCAGCCCTGAGGATACAGCAGCCATCCAGAGCGGGGCCAGCTCTCCCATACGAAGTGCATGGGTCCGTGGCGGTATCACGGCCCTACCTGCACTCAGACTTCCCATCACGCTCAGTCCAGCCCCCATGCGAACCAACGTTGTTGTTTTTCTGTGATTGTCAAGAAAAGGGCAATATCTGCTACCCCTTCTGACATAAGTTTGGACCATACCCTATGTCAAGAAGCAAAGTCTCACGGAGGAAAGGTCCTGGCTATTATTGCTGTTGCTACATTGCGGAAAAGCACCTCTTGGACATGCTAAGGTGCCCCCGAGCCACTGGTAACTGTGGGAGCTCTTCTCAGATGCTTTCCCTTTCCTACTGCATGTGCGGGGGCTTTCCTGCCTCTGTCTCTGGTCCTTGGAAGACCTTTCCTCCTCACCTACCATAAAACACTAGCTCTTAAACCAGCGTGTGCCAGCCTGCCCCCATGGCCCACCTCACTGGCCTCTGAACCCCTCAGAGCCATGGGTCCCAAGTTTCCTGATAGCCCGTCTTGGGTTGACCATGACCCAGGGAAAGACTGCTCTGATGACAGCCCCTTCACTTGAAAACACCCTTCACTCACAGCAAAACGTGACTAAATGTAATTTTTTAGGACGTCCAGAGCAGAGAGCACAGTGACCGCTGTTAATAAGAGATGCAGGTGAAGAAAGGGAAGGAAGCCATGCTCACGTACTCACAGCAACGTCACCTGCCAGGTCTTCCCCTGTACTCGCTCAGCTTGCTGTGATGCTTGCCTGACTCCTCTTGAGGTCTGTCCTCCCACACGTGCTACATCCGGGTCCGGCCGCGCTCCTCAGACCCCAGAGCCCTTCCCTTCCCCACGGACCGTGCCAGCGCTTGGCACTCCTCCCACCTCCCCCATATTCGCATCCTGAGGAGACAGCGCTGGCACCCTTCCAGCTCACCCGACGGCTTGTCACAGCTCTCTGGAGCTGCAGAGTCACCCTGGCAGTCTGGGGACATCCTTCTCGAGGCAGCTGGCAAAACACCAGCTCCCAGGCCGCCCTGCACACTGCAGCGGGGAGCGTCGCCAGCCCCTGAACCTACAGTTCGTTTTTACCTATACACGCACAAAACACGCTCGATACACACGCCTGCGTGGAATAACGGCAGGTAGCTCATGGTTGGCTCTTGTTTGAGATCACTCTTGATGATAACCAATCATTTTGAGGGTGACAGGGACCTGGAAGCTGTCTTCAAGGCACAGAGAGCTGGCCAGGACCTGACTCCTGCAGTGCCCAGACCTGCACCACGCTGGGCACCTGAAGAGCCGAGACATCGAAACTCTCCTCCTGGTGCAGGAAATCAGGCACGCTTCCAGAGCCGCCCCCTCAGCTCCAACACCCACGAGGAAGGTGACAGTGCCCAAAGGCAGCAGGAGAGCGCTTCCCAGCTGCCCCAGGAGCCTGCAGGCTCCCGCAGAGTTCAGGATCCCGGCCAGCGAGCCCGTGCTGCGTCTCTGCAGGAACACACAAGCTGTTCTGCGAGGACCCAGTGTTTCCTTGGCAGCATTAGAGGACTTTGTAAATGGCAATGCCTGAATCTGCTGTAGGAGCCACCAGAACGACACCCGCACTGCCTTGCACTTGCCAGGAGGCAGAACAGCTCTTATTACTCTCTCACAGCCAGTGACTTCTGGGCATTTAGGGACTTGCCCAAGCTCACACTGCAAGACAGAGCTTATCTAAACCGATGACTTGTCTCCCTAATCCCCGCTCTCCGGTCAAAAGGAGGCCTGCAGTTCTCCAAGGGGAACAGGAGCAGAGGGGAGATGCCAGAGCAACCCATCTCCTCCTCGACCGCCGCAGCGCCCCGGGCGAAGGGAGGGAGGAGGCAGCTGGGCAAGGGGGTTGCGCGGAAAGCAGAGGCTTAAACATACCTGCCTTGATAATCTGAGGAGGTGGCGGCTGGCTGGGAGGCCTCGAGAAGATCATCTTCTTGGAGTCCACCAGGAGACGGCAGTAGCCTGCGATCAGGCAGGCAAAGTTGGTGGCTTCAGGCCACTCCATCAGCAACACCAGCGGCTGGAAGGCAAGAGAGGCGAAGTGTGTGAGGGCTCAGCTGACACGAGACACGTGTGCGAAAGGGGCCGTGCTTGGGGCCCTGCACTGGTGTCACTGGTGAGCTGGCTGGCACCTTTCGCACCCACAAGGGAAACACCAAACAGATGCATGTCCTTGCTCCAGAGCACCCACCGAATCACCGTGCGTGACCACGTGCCTCACTTCAGCTGTAATTCCTTGCCTGCTTATTCCTCTAGGAGGGATTAAAGAGGTGTAAGCTACCTTAAGCTCCCGCAGGGCACCGGCATGTGCACGGCAAGGCCCGGATGCACCTGGCTCCTGGTAATTGGTCTGCACGTCACTGCCCCAAACCTACCTACAAGCACCAGTCAGGCCCGGGGAGCTCAGGAAGGCTGAGGAGCCCCACGAGCCCAGATCCCAGTCCTCTTCCACCACAGGCACCACATCACCCTTCCATAAACGAAGACATCTGCTTCCAGGGAGCTGCAGAGGGGGCAAAAAACCATTACACCCCCGGCCCCAGCCACCACTCTGAGCCTGGCGGATCTCATTTAAAGCTAACCCTTTGGAAAATTGGATCCGTGCCTCGGAGCAGATGGTGTCTTCTGTTCTAGGAGAGCACTTATTCTCCTGCTAAAAAAGGCCTTTGCTTTAAAGAGAGGAAAAAAACAGACGTGCCAGGTATAACCCCACGGTGCAACGAGGCGACAGACACGGAGCTTCCCCGACTCGCGGCGCCCCGCCGGGCCACGGCGACGTCCCGTCGCTTCCCACGCGGAAAACCGCGCCGCTTCCGAAGAAGAGACGGGTGGTGCTGGCAGGTCTCTGCGACGGCCAGCTTTCAAACGCAACAGCCGACTCAAGACTCAGAAGACCTTGTTTACCGCGTCCAGGGCAAAACAAGCCCATTTTATAACCGTTTAAGCCCCCGCAGTGTGGAAGGCATTAAAGCTACTCCTGTTTTCTTGTTCCATAACCACGAGAGCTCCCAGCACCCTCTGGCCAGTCCTACCCCCTGCTCAGCAGCTGCTTTTCTAAGCCATCAAGCAAAGTGACCCATCCTGGCAAAGGAATCACATCAGGGTCTGGCCTACGCGACACAACAGACCTGGCTGCAAAGCCACGCGCCCGGCGCGGTGCCGCTATCCGTGCGCCCCGCTAGCCCAGGAGTAAAGACGTTCACCGCTCCTCAGCTGCTGCGCGAGATGGGGAGGAGAAACGATACGCCAGGCCAACGAGGCTCTGCCGCGGGGCTCTGCCGCAGCTGGCTTGACAAGGCTGTTTAAGCGTTACAGAAAATAAAGCTGAGCTGACAGAGATCGAATGGAAAGTATTAAGATAGCGAGAAGGGAGAGGAGAGGATTCTTCGTGCTTTTTCAGGAATGCAGCGGTGAGGAGGGGGATGACACCTCTCAGCCCAGCTTCAGTCTTGACATAAGTGATGAAAGGCAACCATGTGTTCCCGCTCTGCCATATGAAACAGTCTTAAAACAAGTGCCTTCTACCCAGGGCGAAGCCTTCTTGGGTTTTTCAAGCCATCTGTTGAATAAAGAGACGTTTGCACATTTTTTCTCCCTCTGTTATGCAGCAAAGAGAGTTTGAGTGCTACCAACAAAAAACGAAGCAAAGACCGGGGTGAAAGAGGAAGCGGCTGCTGATTATCCACTAAAGGATAATGAAATTAAGAAGCCGAGACCGGCTGAGAATCCTCTTTGCAGAGGCAAACTGGCGGAGGAGTTTCCACCACAGGCGGGTGTCGTGCCAGGCACGCACGGCTGGTCCTCGCGGCCACCCCGCCTGGTGGCACCGAGTCAGGGACCTCGCCTGCGCAGGCGCGGACACCCTACTCCCTTCTTAACTCAGAGATCTGTCTCAGTTTTAGCACGCTCCCAGCCATTCAGGGAGCGAGACGGTAGCTTCTTGCTTGCAGGAATCGATCCACGGATGAGCCGACCTGCAGCGGGACTGAACAAGGCAGACCGGCGCTTCTTGCCTATGAATAAAACACAAAATGCATCAAGCTGCCGTGAGTTCCCTGAGCCGGCGCAGCCTCCAGATCGGCTCCCCGCAATCAGCACGCCGCAGTTAATTGTAGCACTCGGCTCTGCAAGGCAGACGTCTTAATACTGATGAGTGTTATAGCTTAGCGGAGGGGCCTTGGATAAGATCGCTCCCATCTGCCGGCAAGGGAGCGGGGTGCGGGTTCGCCTGTAATTGCCCAGCATTCAAAGATCGTTATTACGGATGAAACCACTCCATCGGCTGCGCGGTGCCAAGTCGATCCAGTCGCTCGAGCTTTCGGCACAAAGCGCACCGAAACGCTGGCCCCGGGCAGCAGAGCCAGGCGCCCACCGCCTCGGGGCGGGATTAGTCCGGGTCTACAGAGACCCAAAGCTCCCGCGGTCGGTCCAGACTGCCCCGGCCCTCGGTGGGGTGGCTGCTGCCCGACGACCG